ATATTCTCCTCTTTGAATAGAACAATAAATTCAACCATTACTGCTTTCTCTTTCTGGCTATTGAAATAATGTTTTGCACTTAATAATCTTTATAAGCTACCACCATTTATATTAACAAAATTCCCTGTATTCTTTCAGATTCTTTAACCTTAAAGGGAAAAATATTTTTTTTATCCATTTAAAAAAAACACCAAGCTTTTCTTTAAAAACATTTCTAAAATTAAAACATTCGAATACATCTTTTTTTTAAACTTCCTCTTAGTATACATACTTTAAAGCAGGGGTCCCCAACCCCCGGTCCATGGACCAGTACGGGTCCATGGCATGCCAGCAATTGGGCTGCACAAACAAGCAAAGCCCCATCCATGGGATGCAGGCAGCACACAAAACCATGCTCTCCAGTCCGTGAAAAAACCTTTCTTCGTGGAACTGGTCCCTGGTGCCCAAAAGGTTGGGGACCTCTGCTTTAAAGTTTACTTTCAGGCCAATAAAATTCCAACTCCAATTAACTCATTAAATTTAGATTACTGCAAGTTACCCTCATATAATATTTTTTTTCCTTCTTGTATACATCCTTTTAAAAACTTTAGATAAACAGTAATGGTGCTTTGGCCACTTCAGGGAAGCATTACATCAAAGACACAACCCAATCCACTTGTCTTTTTACATATTTTTGTTTACACTTCCCCCAATGCCAGAGGGCCAGCTCACCAAGGGGTGATGGGAGTTGAAGTCCAAAGCTTCTGGAGAGCATCTTAAAGGAAGAATATAGGGTAAAAGTCAAAAACTAGAAAACTGACCAGGCTCAATTATTGGGAGGTGGTGGCTTCCAGTTTCATGTAGCCTTTTTGTACTGTGCCCTTGAGAGTAAAAGTACCTAGAAGTTTAGAGTTATGTTTCCAACACTGTAAGAGCCAATTTGGTTTACTAGGTACAGTTTGGTATACTGGGTACTTTTACCCGGAAGTTTTTTGCACATTGAAACACATGTTTTTTCTATACCTTTCCTTTTGCTCAAAGCAGCCTGGATGCAAAAGCATTCAGAAGCCTCTTTTAACTTCCTTGGAGATCAAGCCTTCCAAGCTAAACTTATCCTCTTTCTAACCAAGGTCTGTTCTGCGTGCCTTTGAAAAAGCCACCAACCAACGCTTTACCAAACGAACAAACAGACGAGTTGCGAGGAATAACAAACGACTGCAAAGGAATAACGAGGCAGCGTCTTGGAAGTCCCAAGATGGGGCGAGGAGGGGCATCAAGACAGCCCAGCCTCACCAACAGCACCGGGGGTAGACCTCGCCTTCCTTATCGCGTAAAACTTCCGGGCTGCTTCTGCCCCGCAACCCTACTACTCGGAGCCTACCTGGCAGGGCTGTTGGGAGGATAGAGCGGACTGGATGGCCGAGGCAGAACCAGAGGAAAACCCGATTAAACCGTCGGGGGGGGGGGGAGGAGAAAGACCGAAGGAAGCTAACCACCACGAAAGCCGCCTCTTTTGAGGCGTCGGGAAAGGGGTTGCGCGGGGAAGAGATCCGGACCGCGTCCGCACAAAACGGAGCCAGGGAAGAAATGAGAAAGGGGGGGGGGAGCGAGGAGCATCCCATGGAAGGGCGGGGGGGGGAGGAGAAATAAAGGGAAAGGAGCGAGGACGGTGATTCCAGGAGGATCGCGGTCGCTCTTGCCTTCCCGCTGCTATTATATCAGGCCCGGCCCCTCTCCCGCAGGCGGCTGCCCTCTCCGACTCACCATCTCTGCAGATGCAGCCTCGGCCCAGACCCCCCAGAGAGGAAAAAGCAGCAAAACCCCCGGTTTCCCAACATGCACTGCAATCTCGGTATAACCCAACCCGGTTTAGGGGGGGGAAAGGAAGAAAAGAGCACCGTGGCGCATGCGCCCCATTCGAGACTCGCCTTACGGCTTTCGGTCGGAAAAAAAAAACCATAGACGGGCCGATAGAAGTAACTCGCGGAAGGAGCCGCCGGAAGAAAACACGGCGCAACGACACGGAAGCGCTCGCTGCCATCTTGGGAGAGGCATTTTGAAGTCTTGCCAGTTTGGGAAGGTCATCGCGGCTTAAAGCAACGCCACCTTTCAAGTGCTTTCTTTTGTGATTCGGCTGCTCTCTATGGTCGCTTCCGTTTGAATGCGGAAGTTAAAGTTGTCTTCGGGTTGGGGTTTTTTTTTTCTATGCCAGGGCTTGTGTTTTTGGGGAGGCCTGTAATCTTTTTTGTATGTGCTTAACACTGAATCTTGGCGAGAATTCCCTTTCTCATAAAGTGGGAGGTGTATTAAAGAGTAATTTCCGTTTTACGTCTCTCTGAGCTAAAATTGGTTCAAAAGTCAAGTGCAAGTCTCCTTATACGTAACTACGTAGGAAGGTGGCTGCCATCTTGAGAAGGGAATTTGTGGTTTCTATAAGACCCCCATTATGCAACCTGGAGTTTCTTGGCCTTGGGCTGCATAACCAAGATTTTGGCCCTCTCAGTGCTTTGCAGCAACATGTCACCTCGATTCAAGTGTGAGAAAATTAAACCACTTATCCCCATCATTTCCCTAGTTGTGCTGTATTACAAATCATTGAATTATTAAGAAATGTATAAAAAATGGGAGTTGTATTCCTGTACACCTAAAATAGGGCTTATTAAACCTTTTGTTATCACATCTCCCTTTAATGTAATTCTCATGTACATCCCTGTCCCAAAAATCCAAACACCAAAACGAACCCAAAAGAACAATGAAAATACTTTTAACAAGGTGGGTTTATTGCAAATACGTAGCTAAAAGGCTCTTAACGCTTCCCTTGAACCCTAGCTACACTACACAAGGGAGGCATGCTTCAGAGTTTGAGAGACCCTCACGTTATGCCATATTGTGGTAGATTGCTAAATCTGAGTCATCCTAAGATATTTTTTTGTGGAAGAAAAAGCTGCATTGTGTATCTAGTACATTTCCACCCTGTAGTTATAATCCACTAATCTTTTTTACTACCAAGCCATAATGTAAATTGGATGTTGTCAGTTAAGATTGCTTGAGATGTGTTTGAATATTAGTAGCTTGGATTGGTTGTTGGTTTGATCTCCGAGCTTGGCGATTTGGCTGCAAATGTTTTGTCTCCATTCAGGGGGACATCTTCAGTGCGCTTTGAATTGTGCTCGTCTGTCAGAGCCCTGGCCTTTAAATACCTTTTTGTGTGATGTAAATTGGTGTGCATGTTATTTGTTCAATTGTTGCTGAGTCATAGTCTGGTTTCGGGCTGTTTGATTGGCTGGTTGTTGCTGCTGCGTCATAATCCTTGTATTGTCTGTGTGATGCAAATGGTATTTGTTCGTTTGGTTGTCTTTGAGTCATGGTCTGGTTTCGGGTTGTTTGGATGGATGACTGTTGTCGAAACGTGGTCTGGTTTCTTGTGGGGGGAGGGGTTGTGATTTTTGCTGTGCAGTGGGGTGCCTGTTTGTTTTAAATCTGCCTTTGGGATTGCAGTTAAAGTAATCAGTGGTTGGTAGATTGGGTCGATATCAATGTGTCTGTTTATTGACTTATTGGTGGAGAACCAGGCTTAATAATAATAATAATAATAATAATAATAATAATAATAATAATAATAATAATAGTAGTAGTAATAGTAGTAGTAGTAGTAGTAGTAGTAGTAGTAGTAGTAGTAGTAATAGTAGTAAATTTGGAAGGGACCTTGGAGGTCATCTAGTCCAACTCCCTGCTCAGGCAGGAAATCCTATACCATTTCAGACAAATGGCTGTCCAGTCTCTTCTTAAAAACTTCCAGTGTTGGAGCATTCATAACTTCTAAAGGCAAGTTGTTCCACACTTCTGGAGGCAAATCCAGATAGCATTCAATTCTCTTTTTCTCCTTGATTTCGCTTGGGTTACAACTGTAGTCTCGGTTAGATCAAACTTGTGTCCTTCTGAGTCTTCCTGGATGGACATGAGGGATAGTGGGTCGTGTCTTTTGATAGCCAGGGAGGGTTCGTGCAGTCTGGTAGATAGTTTTCTTCCTGTTTGGCCCACAGTTCTTTTCACAGTTGCTGCATTAAGTTGCTCACATTAAGATTGTAGAGATTCAAAACTTCTGTTTCCTCATTTTCTGAGTAGCTCAGCATGCTGATGAAAGAACTAGAAAGTTCTTTTTTTTCTAACAGGCAAGTTTTCCCAACATAGAAACACTGTCATCTTGCCACAGTGAAATGTGGTACACTGAAGTAGAATATCAATAGAGATATTTGGATATTTACCATTATCTTCAGCTCCATGGACAGTGGTCAGTTCAGCAGTCTCTGCTAAACCATAAACATTGTGTACAGAACATAATTGTTTGGATTCACATCATGTGCTAAGCAAAGCCCAAACTACATCATGCACCAATAGGTTGTGTGGCCCCAGTTGATATTGATAATGAAAAGTACCATAAACACTGTGTACAAAATACAGTTGTTTGTATTCACATCTGGTGGTAAGCAAAACTCAAGCTACATCTGGCACCAATGGCTTGTATGGGCCCACTTAATATTAATAATGGAAAAGTATATTAGGCTGCCTAGAATCCATGAAAGCTAGATAAGGTGCAAATGTTTTATACAATTTTAAAATCCAGACTTAGAAGTGCTACAATGCAACAAAAACATACAGTAACAAGTGGTTACATATATATATTTTACCACCAGATGGCAGAATATGCCTTATTGTCTTAGATCTTATTTGATAAGTGGAATTTTCTGTTCTCAATACAATTTCCCTCTCTTTTCCTTACCAAATTGGTCAGTATTTCTTAGTACTTGACTCTCACTGGTACAGATGAAACACTGCTTTTCTGCAGTCTGTAGTGGAACTTAAGCAACTACTTCATGATATATAAATCTTGTATCCCCAAAAGAATCTGACAAGATCAATCACTTGGTCAACAGCTTGCTGAAAATGTATCACAAGAAAAGTACAAATTCATAGTGTTGCTGGTACAGATTTAATGTCTGGAGTGATTGAGGGTGTGTATTTTATAGGAGAGTTGGTACAAAAATCAGCAAAAGTAGAGTCACCCTGGGAAAATTTGAAAGTCCACTATTTGTATTTATATTGTTTTGGATCCAACCTAGGTAGAAAGGTACTGATGTATAGACGCCAACTCGGTTGGGTTGAGCACAGCCTTCCCCCCAACTCACCACCCCAGCCAGTGTCCAGATCCCATTGGATTTGCAGACTAAGGGCCCTCCGGAATCACCCTGTGGAGAAAAAAAAGAATAAAAGGAGTTACCTCCTGATAACAAACATTCAGTGGAATAGGAATGAGGTTATCCAACTCTATCCACATCGACCTAATCCATGGAAAGAGCTGCTATGCAAAACACCATGACATTTTCAATTTTTTTAAAAAATTGCAGATAGTCCTCGAGTTGCAATGGAAATTGGGACTGCAATTGCTGATGTGATTATGAAGTGCAATGTCACAGGACTGCATCACTTAGTGATAGCAATCCAAGTAGTACCAGTTGCTGTCATAACCCCAAGATGTGCAGGTTAAGTGAAAAGTGATGGGAGTCCTAGGTAAGGAGCACAAAGGGGTAAGGTGCCATGGGGGTGTGTGGGTGGGTGAAGCTGGGCCATTTGCTGTAAAAATGAAAGATATGGCATGAACTCAGAAGGACGTGAGATGTGCATTTGCAAAGCCTGCATAACAAAGATAAAGGAAGAGGGAGTGTGGACAGGTGGGACCCCTTTCAATGTAGAAAACAAGAGCTGACTATCAGGCATATCATACAAGACATATTGCTAAGATAAACAATAGGGCTAAGACAGAGCCAATAGAAGACTTGCTAAAAGTTTTCTAGGATGCCTGTTAGTTAACGTTTAGGAATGGGATTGAAGCAGAGCCAATAGAACACGTTAGATAACTTTTGAAGTGTTTATTAGTTAAGACTTAGAAATAGGGATGGCATGGAGCCAATATAGAGGATCCTTTAGATAACTTTCAAAAAGCCTTTTAGACAATGTGTCTTAATCCCGCCTTGAAAAACTGTATAAAAGCTTGTTGGATCCTTTGTTCTGGGTCCTGGCATTTTGCTGGCCGGGACCCCTTTTGCTGAAGAGCTTCAATAAAAGGAAATCAATCCTGCACCTTGTGTCTGGTAGGTCTTCATTGGCTTTGGCACCAGACTAAGACCCGAATTTGGGGACAACAGGTGAGGTTGGGGAAAGCCCTCAGAGGGCTGGCACTGCCTGCATGTGAGTTGCGAGAGGTGGGAGGGAGAGCCTTGGAGATCTGGTGATGATGCGGAAGGCTGGAGAATGGATGGCACTGCAGGTGCCAATACAGGAAGTCTAGGGGGACTTAACAAAGAGAAGAGACTTGGCATCTTTCCTGCAGAGGGAAGTTGCCAAGAAACTGCTCAGGAAGTAAGATATAGCTCAATGTGAAGAATTTTACCAAACTTGAAACAAATCATGTCTGTCCTACTATATCCTAATGTTGCTGATGGTAGCATACCAGTTTTAATTTTAAAATATTTTTAAGACAGTTATTTATCAACTTTGCTAATGGGAAATATCTTGTAAGAGGAGAACTTGTACATATTATTGAAAGAGAACTTCAACTTACTTAAAACTAGCAAGTTTTCATCATTTGAAAAAAAGTGGAAAGAATTAGAGCATAATTTTATATTCTACTGAAAAGGAAGTCCCAGTGGATTTATTGGCATTTATTATTTTTGGAAGATTACAATTTATTGCCATTTATTATATTTGGCATATTTGTTTTTGCTCTCAGGGAAATTCCTGAGAACAGATTAGTTAACTATTCCTCTTCCTGAGTAGAAAACCCCATTGAACCTGGAAGGCAAATCTTGATGTCAGTCAGCAATTGATCTCCATTGTACAGGAAGAGTGACCACATGCATTTTCTGGGTGTCAGTGGACTACACTTTTCATCTGTTTTAAACATTTAGAAGCCCATCCTTTGTTTACAGATGCTGTAAAAATATAATTGAAAAATCTCAACTCATGTTGTAAAAGTGCATCTCATATAAGGAATAACAAACAGCAACAAGCAGCCATAAATTCCAAAGTCTGATAGTAAAAATGAATATTAAAATACTCAGTTATCTAATAATTTCCCCATCTTCCCTCGACCTTGTTGCCAAAGGTGACTGGGACATGGAGTGGGTCAGAGATAATATATATTGCTGTCCCTCACTTATGATGGGAATCTCTTGACAAATACACATAGACCACATGTTAAGGAGGACAGTGCAGCACTGTGAATTTGAATCCTCCCAAATGTTTTGGAACAAGGAGGCCATGGAGGTGGCCCATCTCTGCAATTGCATAAAGCAGCTGCAGGAAATGATGCAGTTGCTTTAAGAAGCTGCAGATCAAAGCTACTTTCACCCTGTCAGCCCAGACAAGATGCACACCCTGGCGGGCTAGCTCTATTGTAAGGTTACATTAATGATCTTACAAGTCTGAAAATATCCATGGTCCCTTCTGAGACACTTGTCATGCCCCATTCATTTGGAGGGCTCAGCTGCCTCTTATCTGATTATTGCCTAGTCTCTGGCACTTCTTCCTGTCTCCCACATACCATTATACTTCCATTGTAGTCTGAAGCCCCTCTTGGCCTTGAGTTACAAGGTCCTAATACTCCTAAGTACTTAAGCTTTCATAGATTTATTCTGGCTGAGTGTTATTGTGGCTTTGCATATTATGCTAACCTAGCCCCCCTTGGTGGTATTATGATTTAGTGTATTGTAAAAAAAAGGATAATTCTTTAAATAGATTAAGCATATTGTGTGATTGCAGTAGGAAGGCCTACTCAGAAATTAACACAATTGAGTTTAACAAAGTTTTTTTTCTAGATAAATGAAATTAAATGACAGACTGCCCACAGACCCAAACTTACATGATCATTGAATAAGATTTCTTTTTCTTTTTTAATTGGTTGGGACCCCCTTTTTTTTTCTTGCCCTTGCAGAGGATAAAAGAGAACTGATAATTGGGAATGACTTCTCTAAGATAGGAAAGAAAAACTCTATCACTGATTATGTCTACGCCAGGACCTCATATTTTCCATCAGCTTGAGGGTCCCAGCAAGCTTTGCATTGCATTTCAAGGACCACTCCTGAAAAGTGGTTAAGGCCAAGCTCATTTTTGGTTTTCAGGATTGAAGTTTTACATTCGGCTACCTATAACCTTTCCTCCCCACAATTTCCTATGCAAAAAAAGGAAGATGCGGATGGATCATATTTCTTAATCATCTCTTTGAATAGTGATGGCCTCTATCTTTATGTTCAGAAAGACCTGCACCCAAATATAGACCACAAGTAGTGCAGATGTTTGTTTTTTTTATGTGTTTGGAAAAGTTTTATCATTGAAGAGATCCAGAGGTGGAGGTTACTTTTAGTCTTGAGAACCCCGAAGAAATTGTGGACCGTATTTTTGCACCTTTGGTTTTTTGAATCAGTTTAACAAATGCTTATAACAAATGCTTAATACATTTAATTCCTTCTCAGGACCGTGAGGACACTTATAGAACTTTATTTTACTTGCTTAGGACTTTATATTTACATGTCATTTTGCTTCGCTAAAGAAAAGGTTTTAGAATATCCTACCTGACAGGCATCCTTTCCACCTTCTTTGTACCCTGCACAGATCATATCAGCCTTGACAAGATCAGTTTGTAACTGATATCCTTTGCTTATATTATAGAGATTGTTGCAAGTATCACGATCTATGATGGGTACGTCCACTTCCTGAAGGATTTTGGGGGATGCCAAGTCTTTTATAGAAGAGAAAAATGGGACAATTTTCATTCCAGAATGCAAAGATAACAGATTTATGCACAATATATAGACATCCAGATGTTGCTAAACCACAATTCCTAGCAGTCTCATGCAGGAAGATGAGTGATGAAAGATTCTGGGAGACATATTGTATTTCATCAACATCTGGGCAGGTTTATAATGTGTACATATGCTGTGGAATACAACTTGCCACTTGTATAATCTTGTTTCTTATTGTATATTGTTGAGAGTCATGAAAAACTGCACTCCCCATATTTTTTAAACATGTATTTAAAAAAAGACTTCCATTAGTTTGCCCTCAATGATGTTTCAGAAAGGTTTTTGCTGACTTTCCCAAACTAGTACTCTAACTACTTCCAAGTAAGTGCAAATAACTCATCTGTACTTTGAAACCTACCACTCTCTCTTCCAGTTCTCCATGTAATAGATTATTTTGATGGATACTCGCCTATATACTTTGGTTTTCCAGTTCCATCACTCTTCTTTATTCAAACTAGATAAAGCATTACATAGAGATGGACTTCCTCACTCAGATTACTCAATGACAACTCCCATAAAGACTTCGCTATCTATGATGCAACATGCATCAGGTCATTGTTGAGGAAGGTTATGGAAAACCTTTAAAACCCACATAGAAAAAGCAGCCTCAGCAGCTTTCTTTTCCCAAATAACAAATGTGTATTATTGAAGAAAAAAGCAAACAAACAAGCAAAAAAAAAATCACATATAGTCCAACTTTCTGGATCTCTTTAAGAACAATTAAAAATGTTTCTCCAGTTTTCCTCACCTGAATACCCAATCCGTCCCCATCCAGTGACCCAGCATGTTGTGTTTGCAGGAAACTCCACAGAATATGCTGGCAAGCAGATGGGAAGGATATAGTCATTGAAAGTCACTGGGGAATTCAGCTCCACTAAAGCAATGTCTCCAATGGAGCCGTCCTTGCCATTGTAGTCAGGATGGGAGATAACACGTTTAACGGCCGATGTCACCATATTAGGAGAAGGGTCCAAGAGTTTATAAGCACCCAACTGTACTTCATAGGGTGCTTTAGGGCTGAAAGTTGAGAATCAAAGGTGAAATAAAGCCTATGCAGGCGTGTTTGCAGAATGTGGTAAAAAAATCAAGATGGTGGCTATGACAGTGTGATCTAAATTTAGCCCACTTTTTATGTGCTTCCTGTATAATATATGGTCCATATTAAAAAATGAGAGCAGTTCTGAATGCACCCTCAGAATTGCTATTTTGATTTTTAAAACCATATTTGTGAATACCCTTGGAGCTAAAAACTCATTAATTCTTTAGTTTAAATTACTTGTTGCACAACTGAGTAAGATAGTAGATTAAGTCTCCTGGATCCAATTGTGCCTGGAAATCCATTTCTCCACCACTGCAAAGTTATGGATAGGTTATTGCTACTTAGGAAATAACTTTTCTTGGTTGCAATGTCTATTATTTGGACATCATTAATGTCCATTATCAATGTCCATCATATTCCATTATTTCTTGCAAAAGTCAACAAGACCCTTCTCTCCCTGGATTCAAGTTTGTACATGATAAATTATGGTGAGCCAATGTATATTTCTTTTGTCTTTAATGCAGTCAAAGGAAAAGAGCTATCTGCTGAAAGAAGTGAAATACTGTATTTTAAAAGCTGTGAGTGTTATAATTGTTAATATGTTTTATTTTTTTTAAATAATAATATAATTGTTTGAATCTGCTTTTCCCTGGGATGTTTTCACTTTATTTATTTATCAAATTTATTGGCTACCTATCTTACCACGGGATAACTCTGGGTGGCTTATAATATTAAAAGATAAAATGGTATAAATAGAATTCTACAAAAATATAAAAAATACAAAATACTCTTTGAGATGCCTTTAGTTTTAACCAGTGTTTCTCAATTTTGACAACTTTAAGATGTGTGAACTTTAACTCCCACATTTCCTCAGCTAGTACCAAGTTGATGCCAAGGTTTAGAAACACTGATTTAAACAGCAAAAGCATTGCATTTGGCAGGACTTTGCAAAGCTTGATGTTTGCTCAGGCTCAATAATGAATAATGAAGAATAATGAAGGTTATTTTCTCCTATTCCTCTTTTCTAATAGTCTGCCAGTTTGCTTCCACAAAAGCTGGGACTGATTTATGTCATCGAGGCTGAGACCTCCACTTCTGTTTACTGTATAGAAGATGAACAGACTGGAAGATCTGTCTCACCTCAATCTACTTGGCTAATTTCAGGGAGTTTCAGAGGGTGTATGTGACTGACCCAGTTTATTTTTCTGGCAGTATACAGTAGCTTCAGCATCTTTTGAGCAAGTGCTGCCCGAGGCAGTCTTGCTGCTCTGCCTGATGAGAAGACTTTCCAGCCACCACACCCAAAATTCTTCTGCTTTGCCTAACCAGTGAAACAATCTGCCTCCAGAAGCGGTGAATGCTCCAACACTGGAAGTTTTTAAGAAGAGACTGGACAGCCATTTGTTTGAAATGGTATAGGGTTTCCTGCCTGAGCAGAGGGTTGGACTAGATGACCTCCAACATGGTTCTGGAGCAAAGCTCGACCATGCCTGTGTGTAGTGTCTATTGTGTACTCACAAAAGAAAGCAGTGAGCTGCAGAAACTACCCAGTTGGAGTTGATGAGGGAACCTCCGCAAATCGGTTTGTTAGCTTGAAAAATGCTGGCTTGCCAGGGCCATGTCCCTTCAACAGCTGCCTGCCCTCCAACAATCCGTGATGTCACAGGCTGCCCGCAAGCTGGGAGGAAAGAAGAAGGATTAAAACAAGAAGAATATCATGACCATCCAACAACATTTCTACTGGCAAAAATATTACCTTTTTTAATGTTAATTTGCTTTAAAACATTTCTATTTATATTCCACATTATACATGAAAAATAGTGCCTGGATGCTGTTAGAATGCAGTGCCTATGCCACACAACAGTGCTGGAAAACTTTGGAAAATGAAGGATAGGGCGCTCAGAGCCGCAAAGGTTGGGCAATGCTGCAAAATGGCCGAACCACATCAGGCATGGCGGAATTATGAGAGTTTCTCTCTTTCAGGTTTATCATTTGTTTATTAAAACAATCTCAAATCTATTTTAGGGTGTCCAGTAGTTTTGTGTTGGAAAAGCCATTGTTAATTTGCAACAGTGATGAGTATCTGTAGCTCGGGTGTAGGATGAGGGTGAAGGTTTGTTCTCTGAGCTTGTGGGTTGGTTTCTGGACATTTCGTTACCAGGCTAGGTAACATCTTCAGTGGCATGTAGGGAAGGTCAGGATCAGTGTTCTTCTGTTTATAAGGATGTGTTGAGTGAGGGTCTTGTGATGTATCTTGTGATGGGTCAGGTGTGAGTCATCAGTGATAGGCTTGGGATGGGTCTTGTGATGGGGAGGTTACATCAGGTCAGGATCATTGGGAAGTGAACTGCTGGTGGGGGGGGGGCTTGCATGGGTTGGTTGAGGGTTGGTGCTGTCTCTGGCGCAGAATATCCAGAAGGGATTCTGAAGTCTGGAAAAATGGATTTGGGCTGGATGTAGCCTTGGAGCTATTGATTGTCCACATACAGATTTGATAAATGGTCCCCCAGTGTTATCAACTTAAGGCCTTTTTTTGGTGTTTGACAATGAGTACTTTCAGTTACAGGTGGGAGGGATGGAGAAGTAGTCCATGCTTTTAGTTGCAAACAGATTGGAAAAAGTGGCTTTAGATTTAATAGTTGGGCTCATTAGTAGCCAAAGCTTATATTTTTAAATTGTATAAATTTGGGGTTCATCTAGGCCACAAGCAGAAATCTTACTTGTTTCTGATCTCAATTATTAATGTGTTATTATGTCAATGTGATGTGTTGGTCCTGGTTAATATTTAGATGGGACACCACTAGAACATTCAAGACTCTGAACTAGATTGGGAAGTTGAGAAAATGTTCTGGAAGAAGGCAAAGACAAATCCTTTCTATGTTTCCACAAGAAAACCACATGGATGTATTTGGGTAGTCATCAGTGGTCAACCGTGGGCCATGAGAGTCTTTATATTGTATGTCAGCAGAATATCTGAGAAGAATAATTAGGGCCATTAACAATGTCTGTCACCCAAGAAAAATCATCTAGAAGAATAGCTGGATCTCTTAAGTCTGTACCATCCCTAATATCATATGCAATTTAATATCCATTTCTTCCTGTGTAGAAAGGTTTTCCATTGAACTGTATCGCCTACCTGCTTTTACTCTAACAGCACCTGAAGAAACAAAAACAAAAGAAAGTTATTTCAAAGATAGAAGAGAAAACTAAAAAAAAAGAGAACTGTATATGTATACTTAAAACAAGAGATTTTGGTCGAAAACTCTTCCCAGTTATAAAATTAATAAAATTAAATATGCCTGGCAATCATATTGCAGGTTTATATTTGTAGCACAAATATCAGAGTGCATGCAATGCTGCATTTCAAGTTGGGTGTATCAGAGCTTGGTCTTTAGGTACTTGATTTTAATTTTGTAACATGACGGTAGGAGAGTGTCCATCTGTAGATTGGATGGTGGTACATCCCATGTTAGCTTCTTCTGGCCTAAGGACTATAGGATCCCATGACTCTGGGAAAGAGTAAATGTATTTAAACCTGGACTGAAATACTCTCTTCATGTTTGTATAAGTGTGATTTATTCATTTAACTACAGTTCAAAGTTACAATGATGTTGGAAAAAGTGATGTACAATCTATTAGAATAGAACAGAATAACAGAATTGGAAGGGACCTTGGAGGTCATCTAGTACAACCTCCTGTCGGGCAGGAAACCCTATACTATTTCAGACAAATGGTTGCCCAATCTCTGCTTAAAAACTTCCAGTATTGGAGCATTCACAACTTTTGGAGGCAACTTGTTCCACTGGTTAATTGTTCTAACTGGAAATTTCTTCTTAGTTCTAGATTGCTTTTCTCCTTGATTAGTTTCCATCCAGGTACTTGACTCCCTTGACTAGCTTGACTCAGGCAACCCCTAAGATATTGGAATATTGCTATCATGTCACCTCTAGTTCTTCTTTTCATTAAACTAGACATACCCAATTCCAGCAATTGTTCTTTATATGTTTTAGCCTCCAGTACCCCGAACATCTTTGTTGCTCTTCTCTGCACTCTAGAAAGAGTTTCAACATTGTTTTACATTGTGGTGACCAAAACTGGATGCAATATTCCAAGTATGGTCTTATCAAGGCATTATAAAGTAGTATTGGCACTTCATATGATCTTGATTCTATCCCTCTGTTATTGCAGCCTAGAACTTTGTTGGCTTTTTTGGTAGCTGCAGCACACTGCTGGCTCATATTTAAATGATTGTCCACTAGGATTGTTCTTGAAGTTATGACTGTTGAATCACCCCGGCAGTCACATGATCACAATTTATGTGTTTGGCACATAGCTCACATTTATGACCAGTTGCAGCAATTTGTGACCTTCCCAATTAGTGTTCAACAATATCAATTGTAGAAGCCAGATTTGCTTAACATTTGCATGTTTTTCTTAATGTCCATATGATTCGCTTAATGACTATGGGAAAATGGGTGTAAAATTTTGTTCCATCTTGGGATGACTCACATAAAGTCTGCTTCACTTCACAACCAAAATTCTGATCCCAAGTCAAAGACCATCTATGCAAAATGTGTGTAACTGGGCCCATTGTATTACTTAGGTTCTCTTTGAGAATGCACTTTCTTCTTGCATCAAAACAGCAGTTGTTCATGTGTGTAATCTTGGAAGAATACTCCCCTGGAGATGCAGTCGAGCATGGGAAAAAAAAACTGCATTATTTTCATTCTCTGCTCTATTCTTTGTAAATGGGGCCCTGTAAGACCGGTCTGTTGAGATTGGGTGTTGAGCTGTACTTTTTGTTTTTTGTTTTTTTGCTTTTTTCGTAATTAATAAATAGGTGCATCAAATTTTTAATACAAATTTTTCATGTGTGAACTTGAGGTCATAGAATTTCCCAGCCAGCCCAGCTGGGAATTCTTGGAATTGAAGTCCACACATCTTAAAATTGCCAAGTTGGGAAATACGGCTCTACCAGATCAGACTTATACATTTATTTATTTATTTTTATTTATTTTATTTGATTTATATCCCGCCCTTCTCCCAACGGTACTCAGGGCGGCTCACAGCATATTAAAAAACATAAACACATTTACAACCCCACCCAAGTAAAACCAATTAAAACCAAATATTTAAAGCTGTGCTATTTAAAATTACTCTTAAGATAAACCCAATTTAAAATCCTCCCTAGGCCAGGCTCGCTTGCTGAAAAAGCCATGTCTTGAGGGCGCGGCGGAAAGTAAGGAGATCCGGAATCGTCCGGATCTCGGGGGGTAGTTCGTTCCAGAGGGTGGGGGCACCCACAGAGAAGGCCCTCCCCCTGGGGGTCGCCAGCCGACATTGCTTGGCTGACGGCACCCTGAGGAGACTCACTCTGTGGGAGCGTACCGGTCTATGGGAGGGAATCTGTGGCAGAAGGCGGTCTCGGAGATAACCAGGTCCGATGCCATGGAGCGCTTTAAAGGTGGTAACTAACACCTTAAAGCGCACCCGGAAGGCCACTGGCAACCAGTGCAGCTCGCGCAGGAGCGGTGTTACATGGGAGCGACGAGTCCCTCCCAACACCGCCCGCGCGGCCGCATTCTGGACCAGTTGAAGCCTCCGGGTGCTCCTCAAAGGGAGCCCCATGTAGAGAGCGTTACAATAGTCCAGGCGGGAGGTGACGAGAGCATGGGTGACTGTGCGCAAGGCATCCCGGTCCAGAAAAGGTCGCAACTGGTGAATCAGGCGAACCTGATAAAACGCCCCCCTGGTCACGGCCGACAAATGGTCATCCAATGTCAGCCGTGGATCCAGGAGGACTCCCAAGTTGCGCGCCCTCTCTGAGGGGGCCAAAATTTCGCCCCCTATAGTCAGCGATGGAGTCAGCTGACTATGCCGAGGCGCCGGCA